TTGTGAAAAATAACAGCATGGTAAAGCGGACACATGTACTTTGCACCCCTAAAGGCCTTGGCCCACCTCGTGAAAAATAATGACGGAATAGAGCAGACACGTCGACTTTGCACCCCTAAAGGCTAGAAAGTTCTAAAAATTCTTGTTATTTCAACGCTCCTAAAAGCTTCAAAAAATGGAACGGACATATTAAAAAAAAAGCAGGCCTAATACCTTCAAAAGCGCGGCATGACGGGCATATGCCGGGTGCCACCCCTAATTGGATTAGGAAGATTGGTACTGTAGAATATTAATGTTTTATCCTGTAAATGGTTTTTGGCTTGGTCAAATGATCATTTTCTATGAATGGTGTTGATTCTGAATGTTATTACAAAATACATTTTGCTTCTCTTTGATTTCATATGTTGTTTCTTTACTGCTTTGAGGCTATATTTCCTATAGATTTTCCTTCTTCCAAAAGAAGCTGTAGTAAATTCAGCCTCTCAGTATTGATGATTTGAAGTAGTAACTCTACAAATTTACAAGAGATTTGAAAAGAGAACAAACATTAGTTAATCAAAACAAACATAAGTACAATATTTTGATTATTTACCACCTCATCTTTCCTATTTTCCAACTTTTATTCTTGTGCATCCTATTTTCACCTTGCTTTCAAGTCATTAGCAGGCTACATTTAACTTAAGAAAAATATTTGGCTTCAAATTATATCTCACTAAAATGATATGATGATACAATATTCTTTGAACTGCCAAAATGGATCCACTGCTTGAGTCTTCACAAGCTGTATGTGAATTTGCCAATGTTGAATTTAAATAGCTGTATGCCCATAATTCTGCAGAAATATATTACTCAGAAGTTTAGAAATTCATACCAAATACTACATAGAAGTTAAAAGTTACTAGTTTGATTATGAAAACACCAAAATCAATTCAATATATAGCCAATAGTTTAGTTTGCAAAGAAAACAATTCGATTTGCAAAGAAAATAGTTTGGTTCGTAAAGGTAACAACCCGTTCTCTATAAAGATGGAACCGGTTTGTTTAAAAAACACATAACTCAGTGCGCCTAACAATAAAGCCAGTATGGTTTGGTTTTACTTCCAGAACCGAACCATGAAAAGTCCTATTAGAAAGTTATATAGATACTATTCATAATTCTGTTGTAACTGATTTTTCTGCTTTTTCATTGATTCAAGTTTGTTACAACTTATTGCATTTTATAGAAGCAATCATGTAACCTGCAATAGCAGGTTACTTAGCCAAAGGATACTGACAGCTGTCTGTTAACTATACTAAGCTGTCAGCTGATAATTGGTTGCTTCTTGGACCACCAAAAAATAAGATTAGCCCCAAAAAAGATAGCTGCAGCTGAGGTGCTCCACCTGCCATCCGGATCTGATGCCCAAGTCAGCATCACAAAACACTTGCAAGGAGGGAGCAGCATGAGGAGATAGAGGAGATAGGTGAAGACCATGATTAAGAGTACGCTTCAGATATCGGAGAATTCTTTTAACAACCACCCAGTGAGCTTCAAGAAGCAAAGACATGTATTGACACACCTTATTCACTACATAAGCAATGTCAGACCTAGTAATAGTGGCATACTGCAGGGCTCCAACAACAGTACTGTAGAGAAACGGGTCAGATAGAGGTATAGTGTAAGTTTTAGTGAGTTTACATGTGGACTGCATAGGTCTAGTGACTGCAGTAGATTCATGCATATTACTTTTGTGCAGTAAGTCTCTAATATATTAGGACTGAGATAGCAATTAAGCAACCATTGGTGGCACGATTGACTTCAATGCCTAAAAAATAGTCAAGATCACCCAAATGCTTGAGTGAGAAGGCAAGATTCAGCTTGGTGATAATGTCAAGGACCAAAGATTTAGTGTTACCAATGATAATCATATCATTAAAATACACAAGAATGTAGATGGTATGATAATTAGAGGAGAAAGTGAAGAGTGATGGATCACATTTATTGGCTCTGAACTGAAGGTGACGCAGGGCAGCTTGTAACTTTTCAAACCATCGCCTAAGAGCCTACTTAAGGCCATGAAGAGCTTTATGAAGCTTGCGCACCAGAGAGGGATTGGAGCTTACAAACCCTTGAGGTTGCTCCATATACACTTCTCCTGTCAAGGAGTCATTGAGGAAAGCATTGTTGACATCAATTTGTTGAATAGTCAAGTGATGGGTCACACCAATAGAAAGAATAATTCTAATTGTAATAGGCTTGACCACAGGGGAGAAAGTTTCTTGAAAATCAAAGCCTTGCCTTTAGTGAAATCCCTTAGCAACCAACCTAGCTTTATATTTGTTAACAGTCCCATCAGGGTTTTCCTTAACCTTAAAGACCCATTTGCAGCCAATAGCAGGAAGAGGGACCAAAGACCAAGTGTTGTTTTTGAATAAAGCATCAAACTCAGTCAGCATGGCTGATTTCCACTGTAAAACACCAAGAGCCTGCTTGACTGTTTTAGGTTCGGAGTTAGTGAGCAGAAGTCTAGGCTAAAGCATGGGTTAAATGAAGCAATATTTAGCTCTTGTTTGCATATGATGAGTGTTGACTGGAACATGATAAACTGATATTGCTCTAGGAGGAATGTGAGGCATGGTGTCAGATATACTGACTGATGAGAGGAGCAGGGAGAAACAGTAGAGGGAGACTGAGATACAGGAGATTGAGACTCAGAGGGAGATTGAGGTACAGAAGATTGAGACTCAGAGGAAGAAGAGAGAGAACCTGAAGATGACCCAGATGGATTATTAGACGCATTAGATAGTGGAGCAGGGACAGGGTTAGATACAGAAGGTGTAGGAGGGAGTATATGTTGTTCAGTAGAGGAAGGTGATATAGTAGTTGATAGAGGGAGGGAAGAACCACTGAAAGATGATAAGGGAAGAGGTGGATAAAGTGAGCAATGAGAAGAATCTCTACCTCATCAAGATCCATAACTCCGAACTTGCTTTCAATCACTGATACAACAGGAGTATAATCAACAGGTAACCCTCAAGGATAACATCAATATGATGTGAAGTTGGAACAGGATCACCAATTGAAGCAAGTGCATCAACAATAGTACGAATCTTGAGAAGATAATCCTGCAGAGATGAATTATCCAACATGATAGCACGTAATTCAACTCGCAATTGAAGCCCTCTTGCACGAGTTTGCTTTTGGAAGTAATTGAACAGCTTATCCCACGGCTGGTGAGAATGAGTGCATCCTAAGAAGCGCGAAAAAATTTTGCTCGATGGAGTAGATTGAAGCCATGATAACAGCATCTGATCTTTCTGAAGCCAAATCGAATACACAGGATTTATCGTATCCTGAGATTCGAGCAGCATCATCGAGAAATTGAGGAGGTCACGCACAGACGACAAACTCAGTGAGGTTGTGTGCGTTGATGTATGGCTCCACTTGTTGGCGCCATAGACGAAAGTTCTTTTCATCGAGCTCGTGAGCGATTTTGAGTGCGAAATTGAGACAAGGTAGATCGTCATGAGAAGACGACACGACCGATATCGAAGTGTTTGAGATATGAGCGGAAGACGGCGGCGACACCGGTGGCGACACCGGTGAGGTAGTCATCATGGCTGGAGATCAAGTTAGCAAGTTGATAACATATTAGAAAGTTATAGACATACTATTCATAATTCTGTTGTAACTGATTTTTCTGCTTTTTCATTGATTCAAGTTTGTTACAACTGATTGCATTTTATAGAGGCAATCATGTAACCTGCAGTAGCATGTTACTTAGCCAAAGGATACTGACAGCTGTCAGTTAACTAACTAAGCTAGCTTATCTCTAATACAAGTTATCTAGCTATATAATGTTGATTACATGGACTAAAGATGTTATTGGAGCCTATTGAAAACCATTCCAAATTTGAAAAAATTTATTTAGAGCCTAATTTTTCCTTTTGCAATTGGAAGATCTCTCATTACATCCATTCGATCAAATTCCATACTCGGCAGAAATCAATCAAATTCCATACTCGGCAGAAATCAATCAAATTCTAAAGAGTTGGAAGTTTTTCATTATTCACTTCTTTCTTTTTCTCCTTTTTCATAGATTGTTTTTTAGAATACTGCATAGTTAGAAAGTGTTACGAGTCTCATATTGAGTATATAAAAGTGCTCAATGTGGTATTTAAGCTTTGAAGTTCTCCCATCTAATGAACTAGTCTTTTGGGTTGGACTCTCCTCATGTGGTTAAGTCCTAACAATCGGTGTTTTTATTGAGTTCGGCCAGAAAGGGTCAAAGGGCTACCTCAAGCTGGAGTGAAACCGCCAAAGGGCTACCTGCAAGCTGGAATGAAACCGCAAAAAAATAAAGGGCTGCCATCGGGTTAGTGCCGGTAGAGTGAAAGCCGCAGTAGACGTCGGCACTCTTAAAGGGTGTCGCAAAGTTAGGAGTTTCGCATTGAGTAAGCTATGAGGTTCTCCCACCTAATTGACTAGTCTTTTATGGGCCTGTTTGGATTGGCTTATTGGAACTTATCTACTGGCATAAACTTTGTGACACTGTTTGGTAGTCTTAACCAATACAGCTTATGATATATTTCTTAAACTTTTTTGAGTCTCTTTTTATAAGTTCACAAAAATAACTTAGGACATAAATAAAAACAATTTAAGTTTATGTTTTCTCTTGTTATAAAAAAAACTTATGCAAGCTTATTCATAAAAGCTTATTTTGATAAGCACTTGTGTTATAAACTACAAATAAGCAGTTTATTCAAACATATCCTAGGAAAAAGTAATACAATAATTTTATTGTAATTCCACTTATAACCAACATTGTTAAGGGATAAATATATAAATTTGAAGGCCCCTTATTAAGGGGAATGTTTCAACATGCAGATGCAGCACAGCAACACCAATGTATATTTCCCAATGAAAAGAATTTTCTTAAATCAATTGAATTCACGTCACTACAATCAATAAAGAAAGAAAATTGTATATTCAGTTTACCTGTTATATCATTTGTTTGTCCTTAAGTATATGCAGCCGCCTCAGGTTCACTGTATGTATCCCTTTCACTCCTAATAACTCTTGCTTTATCATCTATAATTTCTAGAACCTGGAGATTAAGAACTCAACTGTCAATAACAATAACTACTTGTTGTAAAATGCACATGTGAAGACTCATGTGTAGGCCTTTGATTTACCTCTGGTCTTGAATTAAGGACTCCACTGGACATTCCAACGTCTACGCGCCATATGCTACAATTGTATTTACTGTAGGAAACAAAAGAGCTGATTTATAGATATCGAAGTAACCCATCCATAATCTACTAACTGAAAGTTAAGTAGTATAGCAATATACAAGTTATATCTTAACATTATGACAGCTTTAGAGGTTATTATTCCAAGCATGATTAAAGAATTGTCTTCGCTTACCAATTTACACCAATAGTTTGAGGAGTATGTCCCACCACCATAGCCTTAGCACCAACTGCTTGCAGTGTTTCCTCGAGAACGGAACATACCTGAATATTGTATTATTGGGTTTCAACATGTCAATATAAGTCATAACGAGAAAGATTAATGAAAAGTTACAGAAAAATGGAGTCACGGAGTTAGTCTTCAAGGAAAGGACTACATGTCAGTGTCACTATCGTGTCTGGTGTCGGTGTCTGTGTTTCATAGGTATTAATTACAAAATACTAATACATTTTCCCAAGTATATTTACCTGATTAGCCTCATAGTCCATCAAATCCGGTGAGTCACTTGAATACAACCGATTCCAAACAACACTGTCATAACCCCTGGTGGCAATAGAAGGGAATTGGAAAGTACCGTCATTCTTACTTGGATTTCGCATCCACTCAGACACTTCTTTGTTCATCCGCTCTAAGCCATATGTAACTTCAGAAAATGAAAAGAATATTATCAGGCTTCCGAAATTGGAGAAACGTTCAACAAATTTGAAACAACATATAGTATTATAGAATTCTAAAATCAAGATCAAATTAAACAAAACCAAAAGGACAGTAAAATATCGACCGTGGTGAGGAAGAAGGCCGCCATGACAGAAGACCCAGTCATTAACCTTAAGCACAACAGCGTGTCTTGCAAGCTCGCATGCCAATGGCCCACCCGGCTTAAAGAGGATTGATCTGGCAATGACTCCTTTTTGCCTCTGTCCTAGTAATTGGAAAACTTCGTCAAAAAAAATAAAGTAATAAAATATCACATTTTGAATAACATAGAACTACACTTCGAGACAACGGAACATATATTCTACTTGCAACGTAACATATTATGTATATTGCCTCGGAACTTATATTCTAGCATGTTAATTTGGGAGTCCGGATGCAACTTTAATACCTTCGCTAAATTCCAAGACCCCCAATGATTTGTTGACATTTTTCGATCTCCTTTCCACTTTTCAGATGCATCGACCCAACCAGTAAATGTTTCTTCCCAATCATGTTCAGAATTAATGATATATTCCATGAAATCGCTACATTCATCAAATCCACCAGATTCAACATATCTAAAATCCCCTTCCACATTCATCGTCTCATGGTTTCCAATTACCTAGACAAAGCAAATTCAGTTTTAGAACATTAATATACAACGACAATAAAATTTTACACATAATTTCTACTTAGCCCCGTGAATCAAGAACAATATCACAAGTGCTTATGCGAGTAGATAAAAACAGAAGCTTCATAATAATGATAAGGGAATCAGGGGAGTCACAGATTACAAACCTGAAACACAGCTCCACCGTTTTCTTTTGCCTGTTTATCCAATGACCGCAGCAAGGACAGGATAGCGATTTCATCTTCGCCCCGATCTAATATATCTCCAAGTTGAATCAACACCTAGCAATGGGGAAAAATTAAAGCATGAGATAGTAAAAATAGAAGCTAATGATTCCAATAAAAACTAACAGAAATCCATTTTGAAAGACAGTAAGCATACATTTTCTCCACCAGTCCACAAGTCTTGACCGTCAGAGCTCAACACACCAGCCATTTCAAGTGCAGATCTAGCTTGCTTAAGATCTCCATGAAGATCTCCAACTACACATAAAAAAAAACGCTTCAATAAAACGTAAAAAAGACAGACATGCGATAAAAATCAAAACTAGCTCAAATAAAGATTCTGAAAAACCAAGCCGATACACAAACTTTAAGTTTATACATCAAAATGTAAGAAATCAACAATACTCCAGTTCAATTTAAACAACGAGAATTATCATGCAACATCTATAAGTTTCCTTCAAAAAATATTTACTCAACCATTCTCCATTTGATCCCCATTCTCATCAAAAGGTCTACTATAGCAACTATGCACAATATCAAGGCTTGTGTTCCGCCGTAATTGTGACAGCATCAAAAGTATTCGATCACAATTCTTCGCAATATCAAGAATCACGGCAGCAGCACAAGTATTTGACTACAATTTTCACAATATCAAGAATCACACAACTCACTTATTGTCATTCTACAAGGGAACCCGTCAGGGCCGTTTTTTAGGGCGTGCAAGACAAACTACCACACAAGCCTAAAAGTTAAACTGTTTTAGGGTCTCAAAATATTTATTAGAGTTAAACTATGACAAAAATATGACCTTTATGTGTTTTACCACAATTAAATCATGCCTAACCTACCTACACGGGCTCCGAAAACTTAAGACGGCTCCGGACTCTGTTAGGTTTTGAACCATTCAAAATTAAGATACATGTAATATACTTGATTCTAACCATGAAAATAAATACAATTCAACAGCTAATCCAAGATACACCAAAATTAAGCCTACTATGGCAAACCCAAAATATCAATTCATATTCAAAATAAAATAAAATAACATAAAAATAAAAATAAAAACACAAAAACAACTTGAACATTTCAAAACACATGAAACATGATCAACAAAATTGTCGGAAGAAGAAAAACAAACCAGCGAGAATAGTGCGACCGGGAGCGGAAACAAAAGTCGGAGGGTATCCACTAACAACAATAGGTTTCAATGTACTTGTTGTTCTAAGACTATTATGATGATTGTTGTTGTTGTTGTTATCAACAAACAAAGAAGAAGAAGAAAGAGAGGTTTGGGTGAGGTTGCGAGGATGAGAAGATGGAGAGAGTGGTAGCGATGAATTCATACATAGGGATGCCATTGATTTCTCCTATTAAGTTCCCATTAATCTGAATGAATTTGAAAGACTTCGAAAAAATTGAGAGAATTAAAGAAGAGTTTTATTATCGCATAAAATCTCCTCCACCAAGCATTTTTTGTATAGCATTATCGATTGGTTTTGGCCACGGTTGCTGAGTTTTAAATTATTTTAATTTCATTTTTTTAAGAGATTAAAGGTATTGTATTTTCACAACTAAATTAGTTTTACATCATTATTTATAATTTTTTTTTTAATGATGTTATATCAGTATTTTAAAATTAAACGTGTGATTTGGCAGAATATACGTGAGTGATGCTTAAAAATATCTTTTACTGTCAGTACATATTTTTTGATAAAAATTTAGGTTTTAGAGTGTGAATTTTTTAAAGAGGTCCGATAAATTAAAAAAGAAAACAAATACAAAATAGGAGAATAAATTAGTTCCGAGAATTACGAGAACTAAAAGAATCATAATTTTAATTTATTCTTTACAACATCTTTCTTATTTTTTATTGGAATGAAATCAAAAAAGTGATTGTGTTAATGTTGAATGCAAGATTATGTTAGAATTTTGGATCACAAATGTAATATTTAAGGTGTGGTGTTAGTGTTATTATTTTAATTAGTCAAGATTTAAAGAAGTTTAATTAATATAATATTAAATTTGTGGCTAAAAGAATAAAGGTCATGTCATTGTGTAGATATTGAAAACTAAAAGAATAAGTTAATATTAAATTAGAATATTGAAAACTAAGAAATAACCTTAGGGTTATTTAAATAGGTTATGTTCCTCATTTGTAGAGAACAATAAAATACAGTTTATCAGGTTTCCCCCCTTCATCCCCATTAGAGAGGATTCAAAAAATTCTAAGGAACTCTACGAATTGAAAGCTCAGATACTCACAATTTTCAACGATTTCAATGGCAAAATCAGATACACTTCCGTCTTCATTCTCTAATTGAATTCTGGTATGAGTTTAAGAGTTTAGAGTTCTGTTGTTGATTTCTATATCAGTAGAAGTCATAAGGCTATGAACCGATCTAACAATTGGTATCAGAGCCACTCATATCTGATTCAATTTGAATTTCAAAATTTTTAAAATTAGGGTTCCAAAAATTGAGATCACTTTTGATCTTTAGGCTTAATTCATCTTTTAGTCCGTTAAGTTAATTTATTGTTTCTAGTTTGTCCCACAATTAAAAAATATTACAATATAGTTCTTTAATCCTACTATGTTAGCCTAATCAATCATTTCTGTTAATTTTTTTGGAAAAACGTTAACAGACGCCTATTTGGCATAATGAGATATAGATGTGGCATTATGTTCTTTTATTTCAATTATTATTATATTGATGTGTCATAGTGATTTTTGTTTTCATTTTAGTAATAAAAATCATGAACTCTTAATCTTTTCTCTCAATTTCATAGTTCTACTCTCATTGCAACAAAAAAAAACCTAGCAGCTACGAAGAAGAAAAGCTCGGTGACTGAAGACGATGATTGTTGGAACATAGTAGAAGACGATACCTAGCAATTCAACCATTGTCTCATTTCAAGGCCAAGTTCGTGTGTGAACTTACTATTGTAAAAAGCAAACATTTAACAATTTTATCTACTTCGAAGTCTCATTTATGAGTTATTTGGTGTGATTAGGTCATGAGTGATATGCTCGAGTGTATTATCCATCATGGTGATGTGTTTGGTGAGTTTAACATATTAGGTTACAAGAGGTTAGAAGAGATTTGGCAACTTGACCCAGATTTTTAGAGTTATTTTGAGATCCTAGATGGGTTGAAATATCTAGGGTACCCAAAAGTTGAGAGCTTGTGGTATTATGATCCAAAGGATGATAATGAGCTAGTGATGTTGCAAGATGACGCGGAAACAAATAGAACGAAGATGGTTGCACTGATCAATAGGAATGTTCATTTATATGTAATGCATCCAGCGTATGGGGAAGAGCAAATATTGCCTCTTGAAAACAATGTAGGTCTCAGTGGTGTAGAAGACGACAGTTTGGAAGATGACATGTTGGGTGAATTGAATAATTGTGTAAAAGGAATTTTTGATGACTTGGGGACCATTGAGGAAATGAATAATCTATGTGACATGTTTGATGAAGGAGGGCCCACAGGTGGAAAAGATTAAGCTGCAGTTGACCAAGAAGGTTCATTTAAGGATGTTAATATGGATGGGACCACTGAGGGTATTAACCAAAAAAAGTCATGTCAAGATGTTAACTTTGAGGGGGACACTTTGTCTGAAGATGAAATAGTGGATATTACTTTAGATGGGACCGCTGATCATATTGTATATGACCAAGTTGATGATATTTTGGATTACACACCTTATATGGTAACTGTTCAAACTAATTTAGCAGCAAATGGGACTTATTTGTAACTAAGATGATCGTCAGGCACTAGAATATAACCAAGAAGATGAGAGGTTGGGATGTAACCAAAAACATGTTGGTGATAGTGAAGATGATAGTGTTTTGAATGTAAACTTTGAGGATTCTGGTGAGGATTCAATTGGAATTGCTGAAGAAATAATTGTTGATAAAGATGAAGGGAAAGGAAAGATGATGGGCAAAGTAAAAGGTAAAGGAAATGGGAAGGGAAATGGTAAATGAAAAGGTAAAGGGAAAGGGAAATTCAAGCTTGGCAGACCAAAGAAACAAAGGGAGGTGGGAGAAGCAGTTGAAGGTAGCGGTGTATTTGATAATGTGAATGAATGTGAGGTTACAAAGGAAAGTTTTAGAGGTTTGAGTGACATAGAGGAGCATGACAGTGATGAGTTACCACATGATTATGATAGTGATGATGATGAGATTTTGAAAGATGATTTTCCAAGTTTCAAGCTTCCAAAAAGAATGGATATTATAAGTGGGAATTAGAGACTTATTTTGCTACTAGGGAAGACTTTAAAAAGGCAGTTAGAACTTATGTTATCCATTCAAGTAGAAACCTCAAATTTAATAAAAATGATAACAAGAGGACGAGAGTCATATGTAAGAAAGGTTGTCCATGGGATTCATATTGTGCAAAATTACAAGATGACAATACTTGGCAGTTGAGAAAAATCATATGCAGTCGGGATTATAAGGTTAGGTTCCTAAATTCTAAATGGTTGGACAAAAGGATTCAAAGTAATGTAAGAGAGAATACTAATTTGAAGTTGACTGATATAATGGAGAAAACAAAACAAAAGTGGAATGTAGGGATCAATAAGACACTTGCATGCAGAGCTAAGTCACTTGCTATTGACATTGTTGATGGTTCATTTAGGGAACAATATATAAGAATCCATGATTATAGTCATGAGCTTTTAAAGGAAAACTTTGGTTCAACTGTGAAGATTACAAGTCAACCATGTCCAGGTGGAGAGGAAAGTAGTGAGAATCCTAAGAGGTCTTTGAATCCATATTTCCAAAGGATATGCCTTAAAGCTTGCAAGAATAGTTTCTTTAAGTGCAGACTTATCATAGGATTGGATGGATTCTTTTTAAGAGGCTATTATGGTGGACAAATTCTTGCAGCCATAGGGAAATATATTAAAAATATATCAAAATATAATTTTTTAATTTTTTTTTTGGTGAATAAATTATTTAAATATGTGGATGATATTTGTGCAAAAATACATTTAAATATAATTAAAGTTGGACGTAGAAAATAATTTTTGAAAATAATACGAAAATATTAAAAATATTTAAAATTTTGAAAATTTGAATTATGGCACCAAGGTCATCTTCTTCTTCCTCACGCACACCACTATCATCAGATTTGCAAAACCTTTCATATCTCTCAATTCGTAATGATTTTAAAAGATGTAAACAAGAAAGTTGCTCATTTTTTAACAAGGAACACAATGATACCAATTAATTTCATTTCTTTTAAGTGTGGAGTGAGTTATCAAGTGATGAACAGATGAACCCTAATTTTTTGCAAGAACACTATGAAATCCTATACACGATTAATACATAGCAATTGATTGAGGGAAAACATTCTATATATGTGCAGAAACATGTTGGTAACTTGAATATAAAAACTGATGCATGTTTCACGGAGTTTGGGAAGTTCGGGCATACTTATGCAAGAGAAAATTGAATTCTTAGTTGTAGGTGTTATAGATGTGAAATGATGACATCGACAACTCCCCTAGACCTCAAGGAATGTGTTTATGTGTTTGGAATGGATTAAAACCTTCTGGATTGATGAGCTCGAATCCAACTGCAGCTTATGATGTATCTTGAGCAAATGGGGTATGACTTGATGATTCTGATATTACAGAAGTTGTTTAAGTGTTTGGATCACTCATATATGTTGTATGTGAGGTATTTGAATCATTAGAGCAAAAGCAAAAAAGGAGAGAAAACAAGTGTTGTGTTATTTTGGTGTGTTTAGAATGGTCAGAAATGCCTTATATTTTTAGGAGAATGGATTTGTCTTGGAGGAATAGTGTTGGCTCAAATATTGGCTTGGATTTAAAGGTTTTGGTAAGATGCATCATTGCCCCTCACACAAGGCACCATAACTTTCCACATGGCTAGATTATCTTTTGACTCATTCCACATTCCTCATATGTTTTTATTGTTGTTTATGTGAGCATCTTGACTGAAAAAAGTACCTTTGTTGAACGTGCACTATTGCACATAAATGCCTTTGAATTTAAGGCATAATGTGACAAAATCCATTAATTCAATTTGAGATAACTCTTGACCCTTTGACCTAATTTTTCAGGTTTGTTATGATTCCTTCTGTTATTCATTGAATAAGTGTTGAATTGGTCATTACATTTGACAAAAGAATAGTGTATGGCAAGTTATAATCCAAAACTGTTTTTGAAAAACAGTTGCAGTATGGTGTGTTAAGACCTCCATAACCCTTTGCTCAAGTGGAGTTATCTCATGCTCTTGGGCTCTTTGGAAAGTTTGGATGATGTACTTCAACTTTGATGTTCATAGTTGGACTTGATTCATCTTGGATCTTGGTGAAAAATT